AGGAAGCTTCTGAGAAAAACCCTGTTTCTGTAGTAACTAATACTTTATTTACTAATAAAGTAGACATGTGGGCCTAAGAGCTCTAGACTGAGGCCTACACATAATAACGCAGTAACATAGTATCGCAGTAACATAGTAACGCAGTAACATAGTAACGCAGTAACTGTACTAATACTTCCTGACCACCTTCCAAAGTCTTTCTCCTTTCAAACAGTTTAGTATTCTTCTTTTAAAATAAAAGTATTATAGGCCAGTCAGTGGCATGATGGTTAAGGTGGCTGGATCTCACACGGCTGCCTGAGTGGTTAGAGACCCAGACCCAGTGGCTTGAGACACACGCCAGGAGCACGTGTGTGGGCACGCACTGTCCTGAGAAGGATGGCAAAGGACCGCGGTGGGTCATCCCTGGGGCTGGGGGTCGGTGTTTTACTTATTCTGTGTCTCTTTGGTAGATGCGTGTGTGCCCTGTGCTAAATTAAAAAAAAAAAAAACAAAATATTATAAAGTTACTGAGGTCTCGGCCATGACAAAATCCAAGTGCTCAAGCTGAGTTAAAACGAACTTGTTTTTTCTTTTTTAAACTCCCAAATAAAGGACTTCAAAGGGCAATTTAGAAGACTGACAACACCGTCACACTTGGGTAGTCCCATCTGGGCTGCAATTCCCCTCTTCAAAGTTCTCTGCAATTACCCTTCCACAATGAAAACGCTTCTCTGCTCCTAAGACGAGCTGATTTAATCAACTTCCAGGCCACTTAACTTCCTTATTCAAAAGCACCATGTACCACATCCGTTTTTATTTATAAAGTACAAAAATAGCAAAAGCAAAATAGTTTAATTTCTTGGAAGCATAAATTCTTTTTGCTTTTGTTTCTGCTCTCGGGCATGTGTGCTCACCAGAGACAGAGACAGAAAATGAACATGAGAAATTACTCCCCAGCAGGGGTGGCCACACAAGCCCTTTTCCTCCCTGCTACTCTGGGGATTTTGGACTTGCACGCCCATGCACCTGGCCTGCCTCTCAGGCTGTCGGGTCCAGGATGCGAACCACACTGGGACCGAGCCACTATAACCTCTGTGCCACCTGCTGGCTCATGAAGCACAAACTCTTTAGATATAAAAAAAATAAGAGTTCTAGCTACACTATAAACTGAGTCAATTAACTTCTGTCTGGATCCTTAACTAATATATTTATAGGGCTATTTAAAAATAGAAACACTTTGTGCAATCAATCTATTTGTAGTTTATCTTATTCTTTGCTTATCCCGGTGAATGCCTGTGCCCTCTGGCAATGCTTTATGCATAAAGAATCCTAAAATTCTGGCCCACTGTGGTGGCTCGGCAGGACACAGCGCCTGGGGATTGAGGCCGTGTGGGAGGCCCCACGTTCCAGCCCGGAGCCCTGCCTGGATGGGCTGCAGGCTGGGGCTGGACTGTAGTGGGAAGGACCCTTTTGAAGACGCTGTGTACTTCTCTTTTTTCAAGAAATAAATAAACCAAAAAATTTTAAAACTCCGTTTAGTCATTCTTGTCTGACGGTCACTCACAGACAAAACGTGTCTTTAATATTGTGATGGATGTCCTCTAACCCTAGCAAAGCACCTCCTGGAAGGAATCACAAAGCCAGTGCCTCGCAGCATTTCCTGGGCTCCAGAAGGCGAATCTCCCGAGCGTGTCAGGTCCAGGTCCAGGTCCTGGTGCGTGTGCCGGCGCTCCACAGGCTGAGGCCACAGGGAGGCCGGAACTCTGTCCCCTCGCCCCCTGAAGGAGTGGCCAGCGCCGTCCCTGGAGGGTGGATGCAGGGGGGGGCCACGACACAGACCCTTCAAAATGCACCCTCCACGCACAGGAGACCATGTTATTCATACCACCTGGCTGTGAAAATGCTACGAAAATAAACTACAGAGGAAAACCCATGGGTGAGCCTCAGATACGAGAGTGCAGTTATTATTTCTGTAACACTTTAATTACCAACATGTTAATCACACTAATGCTATTATTACCATCATAATTTTTTAAAGAGATTTTTGCTACAGGGCACATGCATTCTCCAGAGACAGAAAGCAAGAAATCACCCTCCGTAGGGCATGGCCACGCCGCAATCCCTTCTCCGGATCTTGGGCATGCATGCACACATGCCCGGCATGAGATTTAAGCTGCCAGGTCCGGGACTTGAACCATGACTGACTACACAGGAGTCCAGCGATGTAACCATTACGCCATTTGCTGGTCCCCATAAAATTTTATCTATAACCGATCTTCATCACTAAGCAAGACAGGATAAATTAAACTGAACTCTCAAACACATTTTCTTTTGAACTTTTGTTTTTGTCTTGAGAACTGAAATACTCAGAGAGCCACTGTGAAGCTTTCAGAGCTGAGAGAGGGTTAGGGGCCATCTAATCCTATTCCCTATCTCTACAAGCAGGAAAATGGGTGTTCAAGAGGCGAGCGAGGGAAAGCTGGCGGCAGAAATCAGACCCACACACACTTGTTTCCCACCGTCTCATATTTCCGAGGAAGCGACGTTCCTCAGCTCTGCTGAAGCAGAATGAGTTATCCCGGCATGATGTCTGGGTCACAAATACCAAGATCGCGAAACCATGACTCAACGAAACTGGTTACGAATAAAGACACTGGTGCTGGTCACCCAGAGCACGTGAGTGCAAACCAGCTAGAAGACAGCGGCATCTGTCTAACCGAAGATTATGCACATGAAGGCTGGCACATATTGACCATTTAAAAATTTCAAACTTTTAAAAATAATTTCGCACAGTTTATTGTGCTTTTAGTGTAGAATTACCAGACACCTAAGTTTATTAATCAATAAAATGGTAAGAGTATCAGGACAGATATTGCTACAAACTTCAATGGAAAACACACGAGGATGTGATGGTAGTGCATGGTAAAATGCAATGTTCTGCAAGGCAATCCCTCAGGGGAAGGTTCCAAGTTCAAGTCCTAAGACCTCCATGAGTATGCTGGACACACGTGCCCATGATCTGGGTTGGGGTGGACCACAACATCAGGACTCTCTCTCTCCCTCTTTCATTCACAGAAGGAATAAAAAGAGTAAATAAATAAACGCATAAACAGAGTGTGCTATAACAACATGCACAGTCGTTAACTGCTCCCAAACTTATGAGGCCAGTTTTATGGGATTCCAATGACAACCTGCTCACTGACTGCCAACGCCAGTACCCGTCTTTCCTTCAAACCGCCCATCGCCAAGTGGGGATGTGGGGATGTGCTGCTAGAGGGAATCTACGACCCACACCGGGCCACATTCCGGACCTCTGCCCTGCCGCCGAGAGCACATGCAGGCATGCAAGTGCTCAAGGTTCAACAAGCCGAACGACTGGAGAGGGACTGCAGTACGGGCAGGCTGTTGAGGCTGTTCCTCCTCTGCTAGTGCGTGCACTTGCCCCAGCACAGGTCTGCGGGCCGGGGCTGCTCCTCCCCACGCGTGCACGTGGGCAAGCACGGGTCTGCAGGCCGAGGCCCAGTCCTCCACACGCTGCCTGGACAGCAGCCCCTTCGCCACCCCCCTCCACCGGCTGAGGCACAGAGGCAGCCACGTCATACTGCCCCTCCCAAGCCCATGTCTACCGCACACCTCTGCTTCCACCAAGATGATTTCCTGATACCCGTTCTACTTTTGGTCTCTTTGCTGTGAAATCTCCCGGGATTCTAAGCAGAATGGCCTACATCTCATCCCGTGTCCTAGAATTTTACCGCCATACTAGATCTCTGTCTACTTCCTTACCAGTCAGGTGTGTACCAAGACACGGTTAGGAAAGGGAGGCCCCAGAGGGACCGCCCCTCCTCCTGGTAGCAGGGTGGCCCTAGGTTACCTGACTAACTGCCTGGGGTCAGAGGCTGAGAAGTTCTGCAGATAACAAGTGAAAAGGCCGACGTCCCCAAGCAGCTGTAACAAATGCTCAAGAAAGATGAGCGGGTAGGCGCGGGTAGGCACAGGTAGGCACACAGTGAACACGGGTAGGCACGCAGTGAACACGGGCGAGCTTTGACAGTGTAGGCGGTACTACTTTGTGTCCAAGTTCACTTTATAAACAATTTACAAGGAAAGAAATGTCTGTTTTAGAGATAAGCAATATGCCACCGTAAATCTAAAGACGTTCCACTACTCGTCAGCGAGAGCCCTCACCACTTCTAACTTTAAGTAAGGTTCTGTTTTTAGCCCTCCAACAGAGGATACTCCCTGGGCAGATATTTTAAATCAAACTAGAATTCAGCATTCTATTAGCATCGCACTTATGACAAAGACTCGACTGAAACGGCTGATGACAGTTCACACACGGCTTCCTCCCAAAACTCAAAGCCCCTCCAGGACGCACAACTGATCCTCAGACTGCTGACGTCAAGTTTGGGGATAAATTTCTACAGGGAAAAATCAGAATTTACTTAACGAAACAATAACGAAGCTGGCTGGTGGCGTGCTTAAGGCGGCTGGATCCAACACGGCCAACTACAGGGTTTGAGTCCTAGCCCTGGTGGCTTGAAAACCATGCCAGGTGGATGTGCATGCACGCCCACCCCAACCCCTGGCGGGAGGGGACTTCCCTACCTTCACCCCCTCTCTCCGTCCCCTCCCTGGGAGAGCACGTGCCGTGTAGCTAAACTAGAAAACTCAAAAAGCAAAAAACACTGAAATAACAATTTTGCATTACTGTTACTAAGCCTACTGAATGTTTATTACATGCTTGGCATGTCTGAAAACCTCATCTCATCCTTATGATAAACTCACTAGCGAAGTACGCTTACCCTTTTCTAACAGATGCACAAATCTCTACCTTGAGAGTAAAGCTCTGTCCACGTAGTCGGGTGGCACTAAAATAAACTCAAAGGCTGGCAGATGCACCCTACACACAACTTACCTCATGAGGAACATGCATGTCTGCGGCTACACAATGTTTTCAAAACACACAAGCATTCAGGTGTAATACATGTATTGCTCCAGGAATAAACAAATATCCTTACATGGAAACGTGACACAGTTTTTCCTCCTACAGTCAGGGCTGCCATTTTTCCGTTATGGTTTTCCTTTGAAGTGTATTTGAGGACATGACAATCCTGTACCTAGAAAAACAAGCATAAACATACTAAGTACATACCAAGGTGTATTTTTACTTTAGACACTACCGCACTGTGGCCTAGCACAACTATGAATTTCCTAAAGTTATTTCATCATCTACCACCGACCTAAATCTCAATACACAAACCTTAAAAAATAGTAAACTATAGCACCTAAGTGCATAAAATATAAATATACAACAAAGAAAATGTGTAATCACTACCTAGATTAAGCAGTGGAATCCACAGCGACCAGCAGTTAGTGTAATGGCTATGTCGCTGGACTCGCACATAGTCAACCGCGGTTCGTGTCCCGGACCCAGTGGCTTAAAACTCACGCCGGGTGTGCCTGTGTGTGCGTGCCCAAGATCCTGAGAGGAGAATGAGAAGGGATTGCGGCATGACCATCCACCCTGGGGGGTGATTTCTCACTTTCTGTCTGTCTGTCTCTGTCTGTCTGGTGAGCGCACGCGCCCTATAGCAAAAACCTCAAAAAAAAAAAAAAAAGGAAGTGGAATCCACAAATCTCTCTCCGACTGCCCGCCCTTTCCTCACCCTAGAGCAGCTCTCAGTGTGGTCCCCACAGAAGCAGCAGCAGCATGGATCCTCAGGCCCCAGTCTCGTAATGGATCATCTGCTGACCCAGAGCCTCTGCTCTGTGACCCCTCCGGGAGGTTCTGAGGCTTGCTGGCCATAGTATGAGAAGTGCTGCCCGAGACACAACCCTGGGCACTTGTGGGAGTCTCTTACTGATCTCCCACTTCACCCCGTGTCTCAGACGGCTGCTCACTGTGGGGTCTCTTCACCCCGTGTCTCAGACGGCTGCTCACTGTGGGGTCTCTTACTGATCTCCCACTTTCACTCTGTGTCTCAAACAGCATTTAACACTCAGCACTGTTGAAGAAGTTAGCACTATTCGAGAACCTGACATTTACCATCTTGTACGATCCTCACACCAACTTTTTCAGGTAAGTTGTGATTATTTCTCTTGCAGGACAGAATTATATCTTTTCCAGATGAGACACAGAACTCCAAGGAACCCGATCAGGAGGTAAGAGAAACAGGATTCAGACTCAAGTGCTTTGGTCCTAGGATCCACATTCTCAACCAGCAGAGTACACTTTGTCTTTATGAACAAAGCACAGCTTTCCCTGAGTTGACAGCACTGCATTCTGATAGCAGAGAGATCAAGCACTCCATAAATCAAATCCCAAAATTGAAAGAGCTCCATAAATGAAAATAAGATGGGATTCAGATTTTTTTTCTGAATATGAATTAAGCTGGTAGATTGTGAGAAGTTAGTTTTTTTAAAATATTTTTTAAAGAATTACTTTATGTAATTTCATTTATTTATTTTTTAATTTGACCAGAGAGGGACAGAGAGAGATAGAGAGACAGAGAGACAGAGAGAGAGAGAGAGGGAAAATGAGAAAGTAAGCCGCCATGTCTGGGACTTGAACTGTGGTAGGCCATACAGGAGTCCAGCGCCCTTAACCACCATGCCACCTGTCAGCCATGTTTTTAAAAATTTCATTGCTCCAGTTATCCCGATACAAGCAGCAGAAGGCCACTGCTAAGGAAAAGAACACTCCTGAAACCATTAGAACTAAAGCTTTTTAATATTCATTCTTGGTATCACCTTCTTTTCACATACAATGACGTGTTTCAGGACACAAATTCGCCCACTAAGGTTTGTACAAACAGACTCTGGCATACATGAAATTCACGAAATTCTTGCCTTTTTCTTACCTGAAGTAATGTGACCGCATGCTTCTGACCATCCTTGGTCCATAACGGCATCATGCCCAGCTTCACAGCGATAAGGCCAACTCTGCAAGACCCTGCCAGTTAAAAACAAATCACATGAGAAAGCTCTGTTCAACAGCCACTGCACCAACCTCCCCTCAGGCTTCAATTCAAGAAGCAGGCTTATAAGAAACACGCTCATATATTCATAAAGGAAGCCAGGAGTAACGCTGTGGGCCTCAGGGCCTTCAACCACCCCGGCACAACATCCTGGGGCTCGGTGATTCCGTTCACTTCTTCCTTCACAAGTGAGAGAGAAGACAGAGACAGGCACCCTCAGGAGGTCCCATACGGCACTCCCTGACCACTCTTCCCAGCCAGCCAGGATCACGGCTTCACATGCCCAAGATGTCCAGGCCAACCAGGGAGTGGATCCCAGACCTTCCAAGCATGAGATCCCTGGGTAAGCCATGCGTTTCTCTATGCAAAATGGGCCACGACTTTCCCGACCACCCGGCAGATCCAGCACCACTGGAGCAGTGCCACCACAGTAGCCGCAACGAGTGAATACCCTGTGAGAGCTGGTTATAAAGGTAAGTTGGTATGTCCTGGTTTTAAATAACGGTCTTACGAGAAGGCATGGTAGGATCATTGTTATGCTCTCCTAGCACTGACTCACGTCCAACTACCAATAAAAGCATCTACCACTCAAATTCTAAGCTGGCTGGGGCTAGAGATGCCAGACGACTGTGCGGCTCAAAGACGCCCATCTCCAGCGAGCCCAATCAGTAAGGTGCTCCGCGAGAACTTGGCCACCGCCTGATTCGGCTGCGTGATAAACCCTGACCGGGGCCCACACACCAGGAAGAGCCTTACTCTCCTGGTCTGGCTGTGCGTGGGTTCAGCACCCTGCCGGGCACCGAGGGCTGGTTCTGGGGTTATGCTTGCAAATCTAGAGTGCTAGAGCCTCCGAGCAGAAACATCCGTGTAGCACACTGCAGTTTACGTCGTATGACGTATCTTCCGGTCCTTCTTCCTTGATTCTTCTCATATTCTTTTTAGCTGAAGAAAACACAATGTATGCAGACGAGCCTCCTTTCTCCTACTAAACAGCTTCTCAAGGAGGTCTTCCTTACCATTAGACATTCACTTAGAGCAGATTAGGAGGGCAAGCAAATCTGCAAACCAGACCATCAGGGAACAGACACACACACTGAAACTCAGGAGGCGACACGCGCATCAGGCGGGCACTACGATTTCCAGTGAGTCCAGCCACAGGACAATTAGGGAATGAGAACTCCAAATACAAAGGAGTCACCTGGTTCCCAAGGGTGCAGAGGCCAGGGCTCATCTCTCAGAGGGCACAGTTTACTTGCCAACTGGGCTTTATCTTCTTCAGAGACTAACCGCTTAACAAATGGAACATTTTCTGCAGAAAGATGTTCATCCCACCAAGTACTGCTCTTGCCATGCAGACCGCGAACAAAAAGCCAGATGTCTGCTCTGTAAAGACAGAATAAGAAATAAGCCAAACTAACATTTACAAGGGTCTGCCATGTGCTGCAGGAAGGGGCGGTCACATGCTGGAGTGCGGGCCAGGCCTTAGGAGAGGGTTTGGAGTGTGTGAAAGGCCGCCCTCCAGCCCTTGGCTCCCCACCTTCTGGTAACAGCGGGGCTCACATTGTAACAACTAATAGCTGCCCCGGAGGGAAAGTTTTTCACCTTCTCCTCTGCGATAAACGGTTTCTAACAAGGTAGTCCTGGCCAGACACAGGAGTAGCCGCGGACTCACTAGAACGCGCACCTCCACCATGTTATATCCGGGAGGCGGCAGAACGCGCGTGCTGGTCTACACTTGCTCACTCTTCCTTGCAATGGAACACGGAGGCTCAGGGCGCTGGAAAAGCTGTGTGTGCAAAGGTAAAAGCCACGATCTCTGACCGAGAACCACCTCCGTGAGAAGAGCGGGTCGGAGCAGAAGCGAACCTGCGGCCTACCCCTCTTTCCGTCGGTGGATCCGGGCTGGGTCCCGGGGTTCGGGGCCCGTGGCTCCGCACGTGCCTCCTCCGCTGTGCGGCCTGGCGTGGCTCGCCCGGAGCTCGGCCCCGATCGGGCACCTGGAGCCCGCACGGCGCACGGTCGGAGTGCGGCCACGCTGCGCGGCGCTGCCCGTCGCCGGCTC